GGTCACCCGATGGGCCATAAGATTCCATTGTCTTCTGTTTTCTTCTTCTTCTGCATTGTTTTATCTCTTCTGTTGTTTTGTTTTCTGGTCAGCAGTTTGTGGCCAACGCTGTGCACTCCCGACGCCGACCACAACACCTACTATTGTTAGTCTATACACGAAAATCAATCGCCGGATTATTTATCAAATTATTTAATAGATAATTAAATTTAAATTCTCAAATTACACGAAACTATTGTTTTATTTATAAATTAAATTACAAAATCTATTATTATATGAATTCTCTATTGTGTTGAAACATTTCTATAGACGACTCTCTGAATGATAATCAAAAAACAATAATAAAAAGCGTTTAAATCTATAATCAATTATAATTGAATTCATTTTGTTTTTCAATTGCAATGCAATCCAAATGCATAATAGCATAATAGGAAATATAAATGCTATGAAACCCGACGAACGACTATAAAACGGGGCAACCGGTGATGACTGCGAGCGATGCCGACGGCCGTCATTAACTCGGTTGCGGCCATCGTTTCAATAAGACATTCATCTGGTCTTTGGACAGTCTCTTCTGTCCCGGTTCTAGTTTAATGTCATCCGTGTTCGCAGTCTTCGCATTCCTGTCCACCTGTTTGGCCGACAAATAAACACAATTATTATACAAACAAACTATTGGATTAAATTCAGTGATTGTTATCATTGAGACACTGGAGTTAAGATCAAGTGATTTGTGTAATACTGTCAGTATTATACTGACCACATATTTATCATAACAGGACTGAAAGGCGTTGATCTGTGGACTGCACTTGTTTTGGTCGAATTCATTCTCCTTAAAACACGTCAACATATCCATCATCTGAGGAATACAGACCACATCTATGACAAAGAGACAATGGGATCAGTTGTTAATACCGGTGACAACAGTTATTCAAGACAGTATCGTATGGTATAAACATTGAGAACAGTGTCTATGACCAGCACGTGGTGGTGAAGATGTATTGTCTATTGTCTACATACCTGATGCCACTTTGGTCCCGGAGGTCACCTCATTCCTCAAGACCATGGGTTTGTCGCCTTTGAATCTAGTGACGGGTCGGGCGGGTCTTCGGCCGTTTCGCATCCATTTGTTCCAGTAGTTGACTCGAGTTAACTGCATGTCACGGCTCTATGCCTTGGATCCGATGATCACTCAATACAAGAAGTGATTTGCGGATCAAATGAATGATAAAAATGTGTTTATTTTGTATTGATATGAATTGATGTGAAAAATGTGCCAAAACTAGTGTTGAAAGCGATATCTATTGGATATGTATTGCAAACACACAATACGTTTGGCAACAAAAACATTGCATTACTTTTTGTTATTGTATTTTGTAATGAATTTTTTAAAAACTTTTTTATTTATAAATAGTTTTTAATTTAATTTTTATTACTTTTAATCACCGATTGATTTGATTAAACGTTTGCTTTAAAACGTGATTTAGTGTTGATTTTAGTGCTGTTTTTGTAAGTTTTTCATTGATTTATATCTCAAACTGACAGTTGTTTTCATGAAAAACACATTTATTTTTGAATGCATTTCACAATCGCTTAACGAAAACCATTTGTCTCTTTAATTAATCACATGTTTTACAGACATAACAAACAAATCAAATCAAGTCTTAAGAAGTGTTGTCTTGAAAGCGAAGCCAAAGAGTTATCTCTTATCTCAACAAAAGTATTATTTGCCATAAAAGCCAAACTTTTCATAACAATAACAATCGGATCCAAAGATGAGCGCAAACTAATGGTCGCCAAAGATTATAATGAGATTAAAGGCATTACTTATACTACCGATCGTTAGTATTATTGGCCTATCTTTCAGCCTCCAGTTCTTGTGGGCACTGTTTCTGCAGCTATTGATCCGCAGATTGATTCCAATCAACGCAACTAAGAGCCCATCCGAGGCCACAGACAACACATCCCAAGAACGGGAAGACAAGGAGGAAGAGGAAGAAAACGAGTCTTCATTGACAGCTTCGGACCAACAGCTGAGGCCAGAGATGTGGAAATGCCGTAAATGCCAGAAACCAGTCTATTTCGGTACAGTATATATATTGTGAACAAATGTGTTGTTTTGCATTACATGTCATTCACATCACATGTATTAATGCTAATAATGTTATGAAACACTTGTTTTTGTTGTTTTACATGTAATCGATAGCTGAGAGGAAGTGCTCGTTAGGCTATGACTGGCATCCGGAGTGTTTGACGTGTCACGAGTGCGGCAAACGTCTCAACCCCGGCCAACACGCCGAGGTATGTATGGCCGCACCCATACCCTCACCACTCACTTATCTTTACCCGTAATCTAATTCATGTTTTTGGTATCTTTCTATCGGTGACATCAGCACAAAGGCATTCCCTACTGTTGTATACCCTGTTATGGAGCCCTCTTTGGACCACAACTTTACGGTATGTTTTATATTTTGGGCGCCGATTATCTCATAAAACTCATACCTCCCTTACCATCGGAAATATAGGCCACGGATCTCGAGTCGAATCTCATTCCAGTTTTGGGCCACAGAAGAATCGCTTGAGCTCTTCGGCGGACCAAATGTCTGACAAAGTATTGGAAACAAAACTTAAAGAATACAATCAATACTACGAGGGAAAGGGCGGCGGCAGTCATGCCGTACAATACCGGGAAAGGAACGGGAAGTTCATTCTGGAGGGTTCCGTACGGATCTATTGGGACGTCTCTAATGTCATACAACTCAAAGAGGATAACGACGACCGGGTGTTCATCCGTCGCCGGAGTTACTATAATCCGCGGCGAAAGAGTTCCGCCAAATCGATGGCCACGTTTGACGACACGCTAAGCGTCTGTTCGGCCACAACCTATAGTCCAGACTCGACCCAACCCTCGAGCGCCACGACGAGTCCATCGTCGCCACCGTTGTCTTCCAGCGATAGTAAGTCCAGTCCGTCGACGACAAGCAACGGCGCCGGCAGTCCCGAGGCTGACGGCGATCGCAAATACTGTACACTTCCCGCCCGCGGGTCCGAAGATGCCAAACGAGTGAGAGATGAGTTGCGCCGAACCAGTATGAGCTTCGATGACGAGTATGTCCAACAGATCACCGACTCGAAGAACCGCCAAAGTCTGATACAAACGCCAAACACTAACACCAAAAGTCCAGAGGCCAGTGGCGGCGATGCGGAGGTTGTCCTGAGGCGGACGTGTAACTTAAGGCGATCGCGGATTAAACTCCGTCGCCGGTGCTCTATAAATGGCCACTTCTATAATAGAGAGGTATAGACTTTGTTATGGATTTGTTACTGTATTTAACCGATTGTATCTTCACTGTAAACACAGACGAGTACTTTCACTCCAGCGCACGGCTCTGTCACCAGTGTATTCATATCTAGTCTACTGAACGCACCCGAAGTTATCAATATATTGTTGGATAAGTTTAAAGTGACGAATAAAGCCCAAGACTTCTCGCTGTTTGTGCTCAGAGATAACGGAGGTTTGACTTATTGTTTGCATTTTTGTAATTGTTTTGTGGTTTTTATTAATTCATTTCATGTCAAACAGAATGCAAACGACTTCAAGACCACGAGTTCCCACTCATCGTTAGAGTAATGTTAGGACCGAACGAATCGGCGGCCAAAGTGTTCATATTTAACAAGAATAAAGACGAGATTTCCAGCGAAGTGAGTCTCTCTCTCTCGGACCTCTTCCTCATCGAACTTTCGCAGAAACATCTGGAGCTCAGCATTCGTTAGACGCAGGTATTGGGCCACCTATTGGACACACATTTGGCCA